AGGAATTGTGGGCAAGAATCTGAAACGGTATTCTAACCCTAGCAATACCGTTTCTTGGAGCTAATATGATCAGTGATCATATATCATATGTACGTTGACCGAATGATAAAACAGATAATCATAATGTATTAATGATTAGGTCCTACGCCTACGGCTACGGTGAAGTATCACATTCACAGAATGATACAGTGTACTATTTTATCATGTTCATACGAATCATACCTATCACATTCATACGGATTTTCGTTTCGTGCGATCCCTGCGTTCTTGCACATGATCCATCCTAGAAATTTAGGGATGAGGCAGAGAGGGTAGAAGTGCATGGCAGGTGTTGGGAGGTGGAAGAAAGGAAAAGGTAAGAGGGGAGAATGAAAGAGTACGGTGAGAGGGGAGGATGCAGTAAGAGGGGAGAATGAAGAACAAAGAGATAGGGAAAATGGGAAAGCCAGAAAGAAGAGCGATACAACGATAGTTGAGGAGGGGGAAGAGGCTGGGAGGAGGAGGTGGGTGATGGGTAGAGGAAGATGGATAGTATAAAGTTAGGAAGGGACAGCGTAAAGAACTGTTCGATTGCAGACTATGGTCTGCTGTCATCTTTCTGCAGAAACGTGAATGAGTGCTAAATCCTGTGATTCATGTATATTGCTGACCTTAAAATGCAGGTGAAACTACAGTACTAGCTGCTGTATATGGACCAGTGGAAGTAAAGTTATCAAAAGAGCACGTCGAGAAAGCAGCGGTAGATGTGATTTATAAACCCAAAGTTGGAATACCAGGTTCGTATTAATCCACGCAGATACGTCATTGATTGTGAATTTAATACTTTTAGCAGTAGATTGATTGTCGTTGTATATGTTATTAGTATTTCCAACAGAACTAATTTCTAGGACATTGCATGTAAGATGATGAACTAGAGGTGTATGCATAGCAGAGGGAGTATGATGCAATGAAAAGTCAATTTTTACCCATGTTATAATGTTATGTAGTGTATGCAGTTATAATGATCATGCCATACTGTTGTCAGTTATGTACAATTATATATATTTTTTTACAGGTTGCAAAGAGAAAGCAACAGAGCAACTCATTAAGAGCACATGTGAGACTGTTCTTTTGGTAGCACTGCATCCAAGAACTGCTGTCGTCATTGTCCTACAAGAGATGCAGAATACAGGCTCTGTATCCTTTCAATATAAATGAAATGTTAAATAAACCTGAAACTATATATAACAATTCTAACTGATCTGATTAAGGTAAATGGTGCGTCCATGTAGGAACACAATGGTGTGTCCATGTAGGAACACAATGGTGTGTCCATGTAGGAACACAAACCTTGTGGACGAGTAC